ATGTAAACTCCCCCTGGCGTTCGGGGGGGGGGGGGGAGGGGGTGTATCAAACCTGGAGCACACAGAATTTGAAGCCACTGCCCGTGACAACCAATCAGCTTATATCTTCAAAGTTAGGCTTTGAAAATGAAAGCTAGAAGCTGATTGGTTGCAATGCATAACTGCTCCAGATTCTGTCTGCTCCAGTTTTGATACATTTCCCTTGGTGTCTCCTAAGAATGAAAAACGGTTTCTAGTTCTAAAGGATCTTCAGACATTCCAAAGCCGTTATTGTATTCTACAGAACCTCATATGTCCCAGAGACAGGCTCAGTGACAGCACTGCGCATGCGCACATCTCCCCAGCCCCTCCAGCCAGTGACATCTCCCAGCTGACCCAGCAGGCGCCTCAGGCACCCCATCTCAGGGGGCCTCCTTCCTCTTGCCGGCTGTCACTGACCTGCGAATCCCGAAACTCCACCACCACATTCTCGCTGCTCCAGTGAGCCGCCATCTTTCCCCTCCCAGCGGCCACCCGTAGCAGCAAAAACAAACAACGTCACCACGTCCCCGTCGCATAGCAACGCCGTCACGCGTCAGATGTATGCTGGGAAATCCTAGGTGTGCAGCGCTTAAATTGCAATACCGCTCACGGCCGCACGAGGCCGCTAGAGAACAGTACATGAATAAGAGCAAGACGGAAGCTGTCCCTATTAAAGAGGACCTGTCACCTTTGATCCATTGATCCAATCTATTTTTCAGAGGGCAGACTATTAATTAAGTAAAGGCTTAGTGCAACTTCTGAGGCCTTTCCTGTCTGAGTACAATAATGCATTTTTATACTGTAACTTGTAGTTTCAACAATTGTTGGCAGGCCATAGTTGCTGATGAAGTCAAAACCCGATGCAATCTCTGCATTGAGACTCCAGAGGACGTCATTATTAGGACTGCATACAAATACATACGTACACTCACACATATAAAAACTAATCCCTTTGGTGGCATGGCTGGTCTGTTCAGTTCCTCGGGTCCTTCCACCGGCAGGAAATTGGGGTGGCAGCAGTGGCGTAGGACTATGCGGAGGGGGCGCCCCACTCCCACTGTGCACTAGGGTTGCCACCTTTCCAGGATTCACCCGGACAGCCCGGGTTTTCAATGCTGTGTCCAGGTTTCATTGCAGCAGAAACCCGGACACAAGATGTCAGGCAGACAGGGGCAACCAGAATTAAGATAGGGGCTACTGGCCCCCCACTGAAAATAGTCTAAACTGTGATATTTACATATGAATGGGTGGCAGTGTGGCACTATTTACATATGAATAAGCCACGGCTCATTCTCCCCAAAAAATGTCCGCACGTTGCTAGAATGTTCGGGTTTCGCTTGAAGAAAAGGTGCAACCCTACCGTGCACTTATTTCCTGCCCAGTCCTCCTTACTCCTTCAACCTGTGATCTTTGTTTACATCAAAATTCCGGCTTTTCTGCGTCATTTCGGCAAGATCCCACCTATGCCTATGAGGCCCTTTGGTGTTTAATGTGTGGCCCCCAGGCCCCAGCAGTCAGTAGAATGAGAACTGATTTGTAAAGGAGCCTTTAATAGCATTGGTCTCCAGCAGTCTCATGTAACATGTCCCCCAGTCTCTGACTGTCTCCCACAGCATGACTTTAGTCTCCAAGGTACAACTTGGACTAAAGGAGTTATGTGCTGGTGCATGAATACGGAGTGCGGCCTCCATTGTATGATCTGGGTGGGCTAGGCCCAATAGCAGTTTGGCTTTACAGGAAGCACAATAAGCGCCATGCAGGTAGGTGGCCCACACTCATCAGGTAGGTGAGCAACCTACCTGATGAGGTTATGTGCTGGTGGATGAATATGGAGTGCGGCCTCCATTGTATGATCTGGGTGGGCTAGGCCCAATAACAGTTTGGCTTTACAGGAGGCACAATAAGCACCATGCAGGTAGGTGGCCCACACTCATCAGGTAGGTGGGCCACCTACTTGATGAGGTTATGTGCTGGTGGATGAATACGGAGTGCGGCCTCCATTGTATGATCTGGGTGGGCTAGGCCCAATAACAGCTTGGTTAAAATTGTAGCAGGCCGAATCTGGAGTAGTTGTCCACGGCAAACGATCGGGTTCTATATTCAGCTTGTTCAGTGAAACTTTGTAAATGGAAGCGTTCATAGTAGACTCCCCTCGATGTATTTATCGTTGTCGCGGTTACCGACCATCAGAACCCCCAGAAATTCCTATGTACATTATGATCTGACAACCGTCCTCATTGATGGAGATGGATTTAGAATTCGTATGTATATCTATTGTTATGGATACTGAGTATTGCATATTCTGTGTGCGACATTTCATATTCTGCATATTGACTTTGATTGATCGTGTACTTCCTGATATGAGTCTATTTGTAGATGGAGATTTACATCCAGAATTTAAAATTTGAAGGTAATCCCCGTCCCTAAGACCGCGAAATGCACCGACGCATGGACGCCATTATGAAATCATACCTGAGACGTGTGAGAACTATTGTAGTGGAGAACTTTGTGGGTGTTTTATTTTATTTTATTTTTTTACCGTTTTTTTATTGGAAGAATATGTATAAATAAATAAAAGTCTACTTTTAATATTTTTATCTGTCTCTCTTTATAATTGAATATCAATCATACATAGTAAGGAAGAGGTACAGGAGAGGAGGCGGGGGTGAAAGGGTTAATTTACAGATCCCGCACAGGGGCGGAAAAGAGGAGTGGCCTAGCAGTGGCACATCCTCTCGGAGGCGTGTCAGCGTCCTCGTAACACAGAAGGGGCGGGGAAGAGGGAGGAGTTGTTGCGCAGGTCACAGGCAGGGGGCGGGGCCGGTCGGCAGTGCCCCGGAGTCGCGCACGCGCCGTCCCCTCCTCCATTGTTCCAGCCCAGCAACAAGCGGCCAGTCGGACGGCGGCGGAGGAGAGGCCGGCAGTCGGGCCCCCGGGCCGCGCACAGTGATGACATCCGCTGAGTGATGGGGGCCAAGCAGAGCTCCCGCTCTCGGGCTCCGTTCCCCGGGGTCTCCTCTGATGACTCGGCCGTCCCCCCAGCCACACACTTCAGCGCCATGGGGCTCCGCAGCCGCTCGGTCAGCTCCGTGTCCGGCCTGGATCAGCACCATCCCCCCGCTGGTACCCTGTACAGAGCCGAGTCCGACCGGGGCGGAGGAGGGGGGAGCTCCGGGGACCAGGACAGCCGATACCACCACCCGCTACAGCTGGCCCCGAGACTGATTGCGGCTCACAGCGGTGAGTAGAGAGAGCGGACTACCTACCCATCACTGTGTACTGATGTGTGGACCACCTACCTGCCGGTCATTGTGTACTGATGTGTGGGCCACCTACCTGCCAGTCATTGTGTACTGATGTGGGCCACCTACCTGCCGGTCATTGTGTACTGATGTGTGGGCCACCTACCTGATGTCTGTGGGCTTCCTACCGGTCATTGTGTACTGATGTGTGGGCCACATACCTGACGGTTGCTGTGTTCTGATGTATGGGCCACCTATCTACCGGTTATTGTGTACCTACCTGCTGATTAACCTACCTCCTACCTGTCCCTGCCTTGCCTTCACGTACACCTGGCCAGCAATGTCCTTGCCTTCCTCCTGTCCTGACTTGTATCAACAGCTGGCACTCTCGTAATGGCTTACAGTGGAAAGCACCTACCTCCTACATGATATACATTATGGTGACCCATAGCTGCTCATAGCAGTGTCTGCCCTGAATGTCCCTTTACCTACCATACAGATCAGTGCCACCTTTCCCTATTGCTATCTGGGTGTAGCAGTTGGTACTTTATCGCTACTTACCGTAATACCCACCTGTGCCAACCCTCACCACTACCCATCGCTATACCCCACCTGTCCTGCAACCGGGTCACTGTACCCTCTGTGCCCACCTGTCCTGCAACCGGGTCACAGTAGCCTCTGTGCCCACCTGTCCTGCAACCGGGTCACAGTAGCCTCTGTGCCCACCTGTCCTGCAACCGGGTCACAGTAGCCTCTGTGCCCACCTGTCCTGCAACCGGGTCACAGTAGCCTCTGTGCCCACCTGTCCTGCAACCGGGTCACAGTAGCCTCTGTGCCCACCTGTCCTGCAACCGGGTCACAGTAGCCTCTGTGCCCACCTGTCCTGCAACCGGGTCACAGTAGCCTCTGTGCCCACCTGTCCTGCAACCGGGTCACAGTAGCCTCTGTGCCCACCTGTCCTGCAACCGGGTCACAGTAGCCTCTGTGCCCACCTGTCCTGCAACCGGGTCACAGTAGCCTCTGTGCCCACCTGTCCTGCAACCGGGTCACAGTAGCCTCTGTGCCCACCTGTCCTGCAACCGGGTCACAGTAGCCTCTGTGCCCACCTGTCCTGCAACCGGGTCACAGTAGCCTCTGTGCCCACCTGTCCTGCAACCGGGTCACAGTAGCCTCTGTGCCCACCTGTCCTGCAACCGGGTCACAGTAGCCTCTGTGCCCACCTGTCCTGCAACCGGGTCACAGTAGCCTCTGTGCCCACCTGTCCTGCAACCGGGTCACAGTAGCCTCTGTGCCCACCTGTCCTGCAACCGGGTCACAGTAGCCTCTGTGCCCACCTGTCCTGCAACCGGGTCACAGTAGCCTCTGTGCCCACCTGTCCTGCAACCGGGTCACAGTAGCCTCTGTGCCCACCTGTCCTGCAACCGGGTCACAGTAGCCTCTGTGCCCACCTGTCCTGCAACCGGGTCACAGTAGCCTCTGTGCCCACCTGTCCTGCAACCGGGTCACAGTAGCCTCTGTGCCCACCTGTCCTGCAACCGGGTCACAGTAGCCTCTGTGCCCACCTGTCCTGCAACCGGGTCACAGTAGCCTCTGTGCCCACCTGTCCTGCAACCGGGTCACAGTAGCCTCTGTGCCCACCTGTCCTGCAACCGGGTCACAGTAGCCTCTGTGCCCACCTGTCCTGCAACCGGGTCACAGTAGCCTCTGTGCCCACCTGTCCTGCAACCGGGTCACAGTAGCCTCTGTGCCCACCTGTCCTGCAACCGGGTCACAGTAGCCTCTGTGCCCACCTGTCCTGCAACCGGGTCACAGTAGCCTCTGTGCCCACCTGTCCTGCAACCGGGTCACAGTAGCCTCTGTGCCCACCTGTCCTGCAACCGGGTCACAGTAGCCTCTGTGCCCACCTGTCCTGCAACCGGGTCACAGTAGCCTCTGTGCCCACCTGTCCTGCAACCGGGTCACAGTAGCCTCTGTGCCCACCTGTCCTGCAACCGGGTCACAGTAGCCTCTGTGCCCACCTGTCCTGCAACCGGGTCACAGTAGCCTCTGTGCCCACCTGTCCTGCAACCGGGTCACAGTAGCCTCTGTGCCCACCTGTCCTGCAACCGGGTCACAGTAGCCTCTGTGCCCACCTGTCCTGCAACCGGGTCACAGTAGCCTCTGTGCCCACCTGTCCTGCAACCGGGTCACAGTAGCCTCTGTGCCCACCTGTCCTGCAACCGGGTCACAGTAGCCTCTGTGCCCACCTGTCCTGCAACCGGGTCACAGTAGCCTCTGTGCCCACCTGTCCTGCAACCGGGTCACAGTAGCCTCTGTGCCCACCTGTCCTGCAACCGGGTCACAGTAGCCTCTGTGCCCACCTGTCCTGCAACCGGGTCACAGTAGCCTCTGTGCCCACCTGTCCTGCAACCGGGTCACAGTAGCCTCTGTGCCCACCTGTCCTGCAACCGGGTCACAGTAGCCTCTGTGCCCACCTGTCCTGCAACCGGGTCACAGTAGCCTCTGTGCCCACCTGTCCTGCAACCGGGTCACAGTAGCCTCTGTGCCCACCTGTCCTGCAACCGGGTCACAGTAGCCTCTGTGCCCACCTGTCCTGCAACCGGGTCACAGTAGCCTCTGTGCCCACCTGTCCTGCAACCGGGTCACAGTAGCCTCTGTGCCCACCTGTCCTGCAACCGGGTCACAGTAGCCTCTGTGCCCACCTGTCCTGCAACCGGGTCACAGTAGCCTCTGTGCCCACCTGTCCTGCAACCGGGTCACAGTAGCCTCTGTGCCCACCTGTCCTGCAACCGGGTCACAGTAGCCTCTGTGCCCACCTGTCCTGCAACCGGGTCACTGTACCCTCTGTGCTCACCTGTCCTGCAATCGGGTCACTGTACCCTCTGTGCCCACCTGTCCTGCAACCGGGTCGCTGTGCCCACCTGTCCTGCAACCGGGTCGCTGTGCCCACCTGTCCTGCAACCGGGTCGCTGTGCCCACCTGTCCTGCAACCGGGTCGCTGTGCCCACCTGTCCTGCAACCGGGTCGCTGTGCCCACCTGTCCTGCAACCGGGTCGCTGTGCCCACCTGTCCTGCAACCGGGTCGCTGTGCCCACCTGTCCTGCAACCGGGTCGCTGTGCCCACCTGTCCTGCAACCGGGTCGCTGTGCCCACCTGTCCTGCAACCGGGTCGCTGTGCCCACCTGTCCTGCAACCGGGTCGCTGTGCCCACCTGTCCTGCAACCGGGTCGCTGTGCCCACCTGTCCTGCAACCGGGTCGCTGTGCCCACCTGTCCTGCAACCGGGTCGCTGTGCCCACCTGTCCTGCAACCGGGTCGCTGTGCCCACCTGTCCTGCAACCGGGTCGCTGTGCCCACCTGTCCTGCAACCGGGTCGCTGTGCCCACCTGTCCTGCAACCGGGTCGCTGTGCCCACCTGTCCTGCAACCGGGTCGCTGTGCCCACCTGTCCTGCAACCGGGTCGCTGTGCCCACCTGTCCTGCAACCGGGTCGCTGTGCCCACCTGTCCTGCAACCGGGTCGCTGTGCCCACCTGTCCTGCAACCGGGTCGCTGTGCCCACCTGTCCTGCAACCGGGTCGCTGTGCCCACCTGTCCTGCAACCGGGTCGCTGTGCCCACCTGTCCTGCAACCGGGTCGCTGTGCCCACCTGTCCTGCAACCGGGTCGCTGTGCCCACCTGTCCTGCAACCGGGTCGCTGTGCCCACCTGTCCTGCAACCGGGTCGCTGTGCCCACCTGTCCTGCAACCGGGTCGCTGTGCCCACCTGTCCTGCAACCGGGTCGCTGTGCCCACCTGTCCTGCAACCGGGTCGCTGTGCCCACCTGTCCTGCAACCGGGTCGCTGTGCCCACCTGTCCTGCAACCGGGTCGCTGTGCCCACCTGTCCTGCAACCGGGTCGCTGTGCCCACCTGTCCTGCAACCGGGTCGCTGTGCCCACCTGTCCTGCAACCGGGTCGCTGTGCCCACCTGTCCTGCAACCGGGTCGCTGTGCCCACCTGTCCTGCAACCGGGTCGCTGTGCCCACCTGTCCTGCAACCGGGTCGCTGTGCCCACCTGTCCTGCAACCGGGTCGCTGTGCCCACCTGTCCTGCAACCGGGTCGCTGTGCCCACCTGTCCTGCAACCGGGTCGCTGTGCCCACCTGTCCTGCAACCGGGTCGCTGTGCCCACCTGTCCTGCAACCGGGTCGCTGTGCCCACCTGTCCTGCAACCGGGTCGCTGTGCCCACCTGTCCTGCAACCGGGTCGCTGTGCCCACCTGTCCTGCAACCGGGTCGCTGTGCCCACCTGTCCTGCAACCGGGTCGCTGTGCCCACCTGTCCTGCAACCGGGTCGCTGTGCCCACCTGTCCTGCAACCGGGTCGCTGTGCCCACCTGTCCTGCAACCGGGTCGCTGTGCCCACCTGTCCTGCAACCGGGTCGCTGTGCCCACCTGTCCTGCAACCGGGTCGCTGTGCCCACCTGTCCTGCAACCGGGTCGCTGTGCCCACCTGTCCTGCAACCGGGTCGCTGTGCCCACCTGTCCTGCAACCGGGTCGCTGTGCCCACCTGTCCTGCAACCGGGTCACTGTGCCCACCTGTCCTGCAACTGTTTCACTGTACACTCTGTGCCCACCTGTTCTGCAACCGGGTCACTGTACCCTTTGTGCCCACCTGCCCTGCAGCCGGGTCACTGTACCCTCTGTGCCCACCTGTCCTGCAACCGGGTCGCTGTGCCCACCTGTCCTGCAACCGGGTCACTGTACCCTCAGTGCCCACCTGTCCTGCAACCGTGTCACTGTGCCCACCTGTCCTGCAACCGTGTCACTGCACCTCTGTGCCCACCTTTCCTGCAACTGTTTCACTGTACCCTCTGTGCCCACCTGTCCTGCAACCGGGTCACTGTGCCCACCTGTCCTGCAACCGGGTCATTGTACCCCTCTGTGCTCACCTGTCCTGCAACTGGCACCACCACAGTCGGTGGAAAGTACTCACCTGTGGAAACGACATAGTTTCCAGTGG